CCACAAGGCAAACAAGGCATGCCTAGGGTGGCATTTTTCAGGGGGGCAGCACTGCCCCCTGGAAGAAGGGACAGCTGCAGCAAGGGGACCAGGTGGGAGTCAAGAGAGACTGCTTGATGGTGTATGCAGAGCCCGACTCTCATTCCCAGGGATTTCCAGAGTTGTGAAGGTGAGTGACTTTCTCTCCGGGAAGGGGGGGGGATGTGTGTTAGTGGAAGGCTCTCTCAGGTGGGGGGGGCAGGGGTGTTGTGTTGTTGGTCAATTTTAGGCTCTCTCTGCTGGGGAGGGGTGGTGTCCGATTTTTTTGTTGCCTAGGGCAGCACAAAACCTAAATACACCACTGGTTCCACCCTAAAAACAGGTGGAACATGTAACATGTTGTCAAAGGTGAACTTATCCTTTAAAACAAAGCTCTCCAGTGGCACGCTGTCACCGCTGACAGGGCTTCCATCTTCACTCAGTCCTTGTTCTGGGTTCTCGAGTTCTGCAGCTTGAATGGTCTAGCCACGATGACGTCACTCCTGCGCATGCGTACAGGAGGAAATTTCTACGACGCACAGCTCTGAAGGAATGGCACAGACATGCTGTTCCTGCAGAATGCATGCGCCGGTGTCTTTTACAAGTAAAGATCTCCTAAACTATGCACGTTTAAGATATATTTACAGTACCTACAGGGAAGTCTTATTATAGGCTTACCTGTAGGTACAAGTGAAGAAAAAAGACTTCACTACCACTTTAAGTTAGAACTAAAGGCAAACCTTATATTTTTATTTCAAAGAGAGGAAGAGTTCCAGTGAAGTGTGTTTCCGCAAAATGCTGTGGAAATCGCTTGTGTGAACCTAGGGTAAGTGTTACTAAACCTAAAACAGTAAAATCAATCTGTATATGCATTAAAGCAGTGGTTCTCAACCTTCCTAATGCCGCGACCCTTTAATACAGTTCCTCATGTTGTGGTGACCCCCAACCATAAAATTATTTACCCAGTAATTATAATTCATGAGTGTCGTTTTACCTCCAATACTGCTGCTTTCAACACAGTAAGCTGCTTTTAACAGAGTAGCTGCTTTCTACACAGTAGCTGCTCTTTACACATCAGAAATGTGTTTTCCGATGGTCTTAGGCGACCCCTGTGAAAGGGTCGTTCGACCCCCAAAGGGCGCGACTGAGAACCACTGCATTAAAGCATGCTTGTTATACTAACTGTGAAACCTAAGGGGCAGGGGCGGACTGACCACTTGAGCACTGCCCAAGGGCCCCCGAGGTCAGTAGGGGGCCCCATGAAATGCCCCTGGTACCTTTTTATAGGCTTTTTTTGGGTGTGCTTTGAGTGTGGGCAAGGACACAGGGGCCCCATGATCCCCTATTGCCCGGGGGCCCCATGAGTTGTCAGTCTGCCCCTGCTAAGGGGTTAATCCTCTATTGTGTAAAAGGCTGTTTGATCCAGTCTTCTCTGATCCTCCCCTTCTACGGTCCCCAATCCATCTGATAATACAGAGCTCTAGGAGTCACACTGCACAGGAAGTGAAAATCCTGGTTGTCACCAGAACTAGTGTCCTCATTGGATGATTTCTCCTCTTCCTGTTCTGGTGACAACCCAAAAATGTGATATTTTCTTTCAGCTTCAGGGATAACGGTAATTATGCCAATTAAAGCTAGCTAATCCTCCTGAGTCACTGACAGCAGCAAAAACCTAACACGTTTTATCCCTCTGCACTCTATAACTAACAGTTTTTAGCACGCCTGTATTCCTGACGGCTTCCCCGTCCCCCATGTCGCTACCTCTACCGGCAAATCTTATTACCAATCTAGAATAGCAGGGATGCAGTTGCTGCCCACTGCCAAGTGACCTCAAAATCTTCCAGCCCCCCCCCCCCTTGTTAAACCTCTCAGCCCAGCACAGTTGTACACACAAACACACATACGTGGTATCTCCATGGTGCGGCTAAAACTCATCCAATAAAAAGAAGCCGCCACTGGAGCACTTGGCCAATCAAAGGAAAACAGTCTCACGGTGCAGCCAATGAAGGAGTTGCTGTTGAATTTAAAGCCTGGCGGGGGAGGCGGAGACTTTGTGTGTTCTGGTCGTAATTGGATTGGAGGTGTAGCTGAGCTTTTCCGGGTAAGGCGAACGGCGCTGTGAGTGTGCGGGGCGGCGGGGTTTGTGTCCCCCGGAGTGGTGAGTGGGTTGGCTGGTATGTATAGCCCTGTTCGGATGACGGTTAGTGAGGCTGAGTTCTCTTGGCTGACTCTGTATCAAATATTTCTCCTCCAGTCCTTCACTCTCTGATGTACGTAAAGGTCTGACCATGCGCATTCAAACACAGCTGGTTCTAGTAGGACAAGATACATTTTTTTTTTTCTTGTCTGTATAGTATAAAAAACCAGTAGTAAGTAAATATCACCAAAAGACTCTATTTCTGTAAAAGATAAAAATTTAATATGGGTGCAGTGTTGCATGACTGTGCAATAGCACTGAAAGCTGCGAATTGGTCTAGGCAGGAAGGTGGTACAAGTGCCCAGTAGTGGTTAATGGGGACACAGCCATGTGACTCTGGGACTGCTTTATCTCTTTACTATTCTTTCCAGATCTTTACAAATTATATAGTGCCAAAGGGTTTGCTCAGTGCTGTACAGTAGCAAGGGGGACAGAACATGAGACAAGACAGTAACAATACAATACACGAGGGGTTCGAGGGCCCTGCTCTTTTGAGTTTACAATCTAGGATGTTTGTCCTTTTTAGGCACGCTTTAAAGTGGTTGCAATACTCAGACATGAAACCTGAACAGCGCATATCCCTCTATATTGTCACTCCTGTCTGCTGCCTAACTGCTTTGCTATCTACATTGTCAATTCTGACATGTTTTCCTGACACCAAGAGGTAAAAAAACCTAACTTGGGAGGGCCTGTGATTGACAGCTGTTGCTGTGTAGAGGGGGTATCTCTTCCCTCCAATCAGCTCTGAGTTCTGCAGTGTAATTTCAGCTCTCGGTCCCCTTTTTCTGAAACCTCAGACAAGCTTTAAAAAATTCTGCACTTTTAACAGCTGAGAAGACGGTAAACAGGTACAACTTGCATATGAGGATTTGTTTCATCTGTGTTATCACCTGAGGCTGTTCACTTCACTGGGTTAAGCTAAATTTGGACAGGTGTCTAAATGTCCCTTCCTGCTGAAGCCTGATCTGCATTAGGACCTCTCTCCAGAGACTTCTGACAGGTGGTTGGGAAGCAATGCCTCCTCACCACTTTTTTTTTTTTTTTTTTTTTTTTTTTTTTTTTTGCGTTAAATGGCCATAGTGACCTTTCATTATAAACAATACTGTACAAAATAATATAACAAAAACATAACATTACACATCAAATGAAGCTGCAGGTCCTTGAAGGTATAACTAATAGGTATAACAAATCCTTGTGTCTTTGGCACCAGATAGCTAAGTTAATGCCTCCAGCTGCAGAACACTGCCTTGGGAACCATCACAGCTGACCTTAGACACAAACTTGTCTACAACTACCCAGTCAATATGAGTTGACCAGACCAACTAGAGGACAGCGTACTGGAGATGGATCTCCACCATTTTCTCAAAGACGCCAAACTTTAACCTCCTTGAAAGACCCCAGTCTGCTAACTTCTACTTCACCACCTTTTTAATCCCATTTCTGCTGCAGGGCGTTTGGATTTTTTTTTTTTTTTTTTTTTTTTCCCCATTGACTTGCATGTGTAGCATTTGGCAAGCTTGCCACCCACTGAACAATACACATCATGTCAACTATGCTGTGTCATGACATCCCCATCTGCTGCCTATTGCAGCTTAAGGGGGGGCAGTTGGTGGGCTGCAAAGATGCAGCTTGACCACACATTTTTGCCACCCTCCAACCGCTAGTCTATACAAGGCCTAAGTTTACAACCTCTTTAAACAAACCTTTCCCTCACCATGTAAACTGGTAATATTCATCACTCCTTTTATTAATAAAAATCTAGAGCTGGTGGTTTTTGTTGTGACTCTATAGCTTTACTTCATGTAAATGATGCCTTTGACCTTTCTCTACAGGTGCCCATAATCTGCATGGGCACTTTTGGTAAACCGCCTTTACTAAAGTTGGGCAGTGCCTTTGCCGCAGGTGCAGGCCCCACCCTCCCCCAAGCCTGGCTCAAACTCCCAGAGATGGCATCCTTGAGTTTGTGGGGAAAAGCTTTATTCCAGAAAGGGGCTTTAATGTATTAGGTGGAGTGTTGCCAAATCTTTTTTTACTTCTCTTCTGGGTCACAGGAGTGCACTTGCGTTCCCTCTCCTGTGACATAGAATCAACCATCAGCAGGCTAAAGTTTACGGACATCAACAGAGCTGCTCCAAGCTCTGGAAGGATCCCAACAATGTCAGGATTCACTCAGTTGTCAGACTGGCAGCTGGCTTACCCACTCCCAGCCCAATGGCCCCTGCTGCTGTCAGCCAGTGAGAAGTGGGGGGTGTGCATGAGTGCTTTTGCTTTTCTAGGTCTCTCCCTCCTCATTGGCTGCCACTACTGTCCATCTCAGCCAGCAATTAAATGAGAGATCGGGGCAAGGCTGAGCTGCACTCCATGTAGGAATTCACACAGCAGTGGTTCAGGAGTGAGCCTGCTCAGGTGCCCCCATAGCAAGCTGCTTGCTATGGGGGCACTAGGCAGAGAGGGGACAGGAGTGCCGGTGGGGGACCTGAGAAGAGGATTGGGGGTGCTCTGTGCAAACCCATTGCAGAGCAGTAAATTACATGTGTTATGAAAAAAAGCAAACCTTTTAATATCACTAACTTGGTGGAGAGGCCTTCCTGAAATAGCAAATATATTGAATGGCCCTGCGAAAGTTGTTCCAAGGAGGTGGTATTGGGAGGATTGATTTTAGCAGCCTGTCCTGTAGTGTTACTATTGTGAAACGGATGTTGTGGATTCCTTCCTATCTCCTTTTCAAGTTAACAATCTAATTTTTTTTTTTTTTTTTCTTTCTTAGTTTTGAATAAAGTGAAGCATGGCAACTGTGATTTTTGTTGATCAAGAGAATGGAGTTGTTTGTCCTACTACACTGTTGAAGGATCATCTTAAACCAGCAAACACTGGTGAGTATTCCAGTGACTTTTGCTCACTTGGTACCCCATGTCTGCGGTTTCTGCAGAGGTTTATGGGCAGGGTTGCTTAAAGTGACTCAAATCAATGTTTCTCCAAAAATTATCCACACAAATCCACATGTAATGATCCAATTCAATTTGTTGATTTGTACATCCTTTGTACTGCTGAACCTTTCCCCACATTTCTTGTTTTCATTTGGTATGAGCAATGCACATTGGTTGTGATCATGTGCATTACTCTATGCAAACTACACATCCCTTAGTCCATCTCAAGCAACATAGGCTATGTTCCTACACACAGTGGGGGTCATGGAGAATGAATGTAGCCATCATGTAACAGGAGGTCAAATCATTGTAGTAAAAATGTATGGATATGAAGAAGGCTGGAAGTAATACGGTTAACCATACCCCAGTGCTTGGTGACAGTGGCTAGGGCTGGTAGTTTGTCGCTCAGACCCAAACATGCTTATGGCAGATGTCGCATGCATTCCCCAAATACCTAGAAGCCCAGTGTGTTAGGGCAGCATGGATCAATGGCTCACCTACAAGTTTCTTTATATGGTACTTTCCCTGCTGGGCTGGGTGACAGTGTTTTTGTTTCAGATGATTTTTTGCACTTAGACTTTTGTTGGGTGTGAATATCAAAGGGGGGGGGGGGGAAGGAAAAGACCTAATTTATGTTGCTATATAATCTCTGTAGACTGCAAATGTGCTATGAAATGATAGGTTTAAATCTCACCTGAACACTAGGCAATGCAGTCGCCATCAATAGACATTAAAGGGCACAGTAAGCATTTACAAAGCCTCATTAAGCTTGCCTAAAGCTCAACTCAGACAAACTTTCATTTAAATACAGTATCTCACAGAAGTGAATACACCCCTCACATTTTTTGTAATTTATTTTTTTCATGTGACAACACTGAAAGAATGACCCTCTTCTACAATGTAAAGTAGTGAGTATACAGCTTGTATAACTGAGTCATTTTGAAGGAACAGTAAATTTACACTCGCAGCCATTAATGTCTAAACCGCTGGCAACAAAAGTGAGTACACCCCTAAGTGAAAATGTCCAAATTGGGCCCAAAGTGTCTATTTTGTGTGGCCACCATTATTTTCCAACACTGCCTTAACCCTGTTGGGTATGGAGTTCACCAGAGCTTCACAGGTTGCCACTGGAGTCATCTTCCACTCCATGACGACATCACAGAGCTGGTGGATGTTAGACCTTGCGCTCCTCCACCTTCCGTTAGAGGATGCCCCACAGATGCTCAGTAGGGCTTGGGTCTGGAGACATGCTAGGCCAAGCCATCACCTTTACCCTCGGCTTCTTTAGCAAGGCAGTGGCCGTCTTGGAAGTGTTTGGGTTCGTTATCTTGGAATACTGCCCTGCAGCCCAGTCTCTGAAGGGAGGGGTTCATGGTCTGCTTCAGTATGTCACAGTACATGTTGGCATTCATGGTTCTCTCAATGAACTGTAGCTCTCCAGTGCCAGCAGCACTCATGCAGCCCCAGACCATGGCACTCCCACCACCATGTTTGACTGTAGGCAAGACGCACTTGTCTTTGTACTCCTCACCTGGTTGCCGCCACACACACTTCACACCATCTGAACCAAATCAGTTTATCTTGGTCTCATCAGACCACAGGACATGGTTCCAGTAATCCATGTCCTTAGTCTGCTTGTCTTCAGCCAACTGTTTGTGGGCTTTCTTGTGCATCTTTAGAAGTGGCTTCCTTCTGGGATGACAGCCATGCAGACCAATTAGATGCAGTGTGTGGCGTATGGTCTGAGCACTGATGGGCTGAATCCACCACACCCTTCAACTTCTGCAGTAATGCTGGCAGCATTCGTATGTCTATTTCCCAAAGACAACCTCTGGATATGACGCTGAGCACTGGCACTCAACTTCTTTGGTCGACCATGGCGAGGCCTGTTCTGAGTGGAACCTGTCCTGCTAAATTGCTGTATAGTCTTGGCCACGGTGCTGCAGCTCCGTTTTCAGGGTATTGGCAATCTTATAGGCTAGGCCATCTTATTGTAGAGGTACAATTAATTTTTTTTTTTTTTCTCTGTTTGCCATGAGATGCCAGGTTTAACTTCCAGTGACTAGTATGAGTGAGCGATGATGCCAAATTTAACACCTGCCCCCCCCATTCACACCTCTGGTGTCATGTAACAGTCACATGACACCAGAGAGGGAAAATGGCTAATTGGCCCAATTTGGGCATTTTCACTTGGTGTACTCACTTTAGTTGCCAGCAGATTAGACCTTAGATAGTAATGGTTGTTTTGAGGGGACAACATTTACACTGTTATACAAGCTGTAAACTCGCTACTTTACGTTGTAGCAAAGTGTCATTTCTTCAGTGTTGTCACTTAAAGATATAATATAATTACAAAAATGAGGGGTGTAATCACTTGTGAGATACTGTATATTCAATAGCCAGAGGATCTAAATACACTTTATTGGTAGCAAATGCCTTTGCAAACCAGATATTGCTTTGTTAAAATAGCAGTGACAATTGCTGTACTGTAGATGGCCTGAGCAGAGATGGGGGAGGAGAGCAGACTCTACCTGCTACAGGCTGTCTGCAGAAAAATACAAGGAGGGGTCAGAGCAACGAAGTCACCAATACAGCAGTAGTGACCAGTCTTTATTACAGGAAGATTTCTGCATATCCACGTTTTTCACACTGGAACACTGCACACTTCTGGAGGAAGTACAAAGCACACCAAGATTCAAGTAATATCAATGTCTCTTGTACTCTGGGTGGCATTTGCATATCCAAGACTTCCATTAAGTTGTCTGTACTGACAAATGTGTGCTGCATGGTTGTTGTGTTTAAATTTTTTTTGAGACTGTTGCTGCTTTAAAGTTAAACTCCAGGCAACACAAAATATCCAGTGCAGCGGATGTCTAGAAGAACAAAGTATCTTCCCCCTTCTCCATGCTCCAATTTTCTTGGGTCCTGACATTGAGATCAAGGTAGGGTACATAGCCCAGCATTGGATATAATGCCAAGGGGCAGTTCACTGCCAAGTATGGGAGTGCTATCTCCTGGGAAGTGGAGGTTCATATTCTGGTCTCCCCTAGACAAATTGAGCTATTGACCCAAGCAGTGCTGGTGATTCTCCACTGAAGAGATAAAACATTTTGCAGTATTTTGGCCTTAAAAGTTTTACAAGACACTGCAGGCAGTCCTAAACACACCAATTCTAGGTTGCTGTAAAATGTATGCAAGTACTGTAGCAGGAGGGGGGGGGAGGATGAGCTGGAGTTTGTGTTTGGGGGGGGGGGGGGGGGGGTTTCTGGAGCTCTGTATCAGGACCAAGCATGCAATTAACATTCCTATTTTCTTGTAAAGGAAAACCCTTCTTTAAAAGTCAACCAGGAAAAGTTGTTTGGAGCAGCTCTGGAACTGTGCAGCCAAGAAAAAGCTCTGGGAAATGTCAACACAGCAGTTCCACATGGAAAGGGGGCACTTGGAGTGAAGAATTCTTGCACCAGTTACCAAGCAGGTACTAGTCCATAAATGACCAGGCCTGTTACGCTCCCAAATATTTGGTTAGTTTGTCCCCATAGGTGATCTATCTTCACATCTGTGCCCCAGAATAGAAAAGTTAATGGACACAAACAGCCTTAAGCCGCATGGAAAAGAGGCTCTTCAGTATTAAAGTTTTATTCTTGCAGAAGAGATGCACAATGTCTCTTCTGCAGTAAAATACACTGCCCATTCCCACTTTGCAATGTACCACCCAGTTTACACTTTGGCACAGTGCTTCAACATACTAACCATATGTAGCTGATGGATGCAAGTATGTATGCTGACTGGGCTGTAATGGGCAACACTAAGGGATCCATTTATGGGAAAAATCTTGGTGCCCAAATGACTGGCATTTCCATTCTCAGCAAATTGACTATTTGACTTCCAATGACTGTTGCTTCTCATCTAGTGGCAATAATGGTAATTCTCTGAAATGCCTCACCCAGTACACTGCAGTATCTCTACAAAGATCAGCTAACAATCAGGGGAATTAACTGTATTTAAAGCCAAACACCAGTAAAACAAAAAAAAAAAAAACTTTCATTCTAGGAAAGTATTAGGTTTTGATTTAATTTCCTCTGGAGACATTCTTAATTATGCAGCTTTCAGAACTGGGGGGGGGGGGGACGGGACATTCTCCAGTGGGGGGCACATTAGAAAAACCAAATTTTAATTTCCCAAACTCTGCCCGCAGCTAAGACTAGGCTGGGCCTAATATGTATCTAATCTACGGTTGGGTGGAAACTGCTGCCCATTACTAAAACTGTTGCATGTTCAATTTTAGATTTCTGAAGCCTGCTTCAAAACCCAGCAAGCAAAGTTACCGGGTAGAGATTGAAAAGTGTCTTCCTTACCATCCTGAAGGCAAGTGTTTACTGGTGGTCTTTCAGGCTTAACTGAGATTTTCCAAATCAGCCTGTAGTTTATGCCATGGAGTTTTGTCCTTCCCAAATGGGCCCTGTGTTCTTCCCCCCTTTTTTTTTTTTTTTTTTTTTTTTTTTTTGTGTGTAAATAGGCAAATATCTTAAGAGACCATTGAAATGGAATTTTACCTAGTGACTGTGTTTGTCCACTTGAATTTTAATGCTTGAGACTGTAACTGTTGTCTTGGCAAGTGACTCAAGTAAATGCTATCCAACCCTTCCAGTAGTGCAACATGCAAGCGTTTGATAAATCAGTAATGGGTCAAAGTTTGACTAGCCATGTTTCTCTTCTAGAGTTTGAAACGTTTGATGTTCCTGAAGAGCATAAATTGAGCCATCTCTACCTTGCTGGAGTTCCCCTTATTGTGTATGAAAATGAGGCTGCAAAGTTTGGTGCATTGTCAACCTTGGAGCCAGCACCAATGGATATTCCAGTCTTTAGCTGGGAATCAGGTTGGTTTTTAACTAACTTTTTTTTTTTTTTTTTTTTTTTTTTTCTTCCTTCTGTCTTTCAGGACAGCACCTCAAGAGACCTCTGCTCCTCCCCACCTGAGAAAACCCCCTCCACCAAAAACAAAAGGCCTGCCTCTCCCCTCACAACTTTAGTTTCAGTGTTTCCTCCAGTGGGGAGACACGTTGTGGTGGCCAGTTCAGGTGCAGTCAGGACTGGGTGAGCCTGGTAGTCGGAGGGGGGGAATGGCAGATGAGGTGTCAGGTGCGGCCTGGTGGCTACCCCCCATGGCCTTCTTTACAGGCCCTCCCCCTCTGTAGGGAGACAGGCAGGGGGGTTCGCTTACCTGTCGTGCTTCATCCCGGCCCCTGAGGTAGAGTTCTCTATATGAACCACTGATTTTATATATACATGTTGATCATATCCCCCTTAATCTCCTCCTGAATAAATTTAGTTCCTCTAATCTTTCCTCATAGTTGAACTCCTCCATCCTCTTATCACCTTCTCTGTAACTTCTAGTTCCCCAATATTTATGAATCTGTGCCCAAAATTGAACTGCATATTCCTGATTAGGTTTTACTAATTTGTACAGAGGTAAAATCTCTCTGAAGTCTATACCTTTTTAATACAAGCGAGGATTTTGCTCGCTTAAGAAACAACAGCAGCTTCGCATTGCATGCCATTATTAAGCTTGTGATCTCCCAGATCCTTCTCCACAATTTATTTCCCCAGTTGTACCCCCCCCCCCCCCCCCCCTAGTTCGTTATGATGCATGCATATTTGTAGCCCCAAGTGCATAACCTTACATTTATCAACATTAAACCTCATTTGCCACATAGTTGCCCAATTAAACAGTGCATTGAGGTCGGCTTGTAAGTTGCAAATATCCTGGAAGGACGTTATTTCACTGTACAGCTTGGTGTCATCTGCAAAGACTGAACTGGTATTAATCCCAGACCCTATATTGTTTATAAATGTAGTAAAACTTAAGGATCCCAACGCTGAATCATGGGGTACACCACGAACAACCATAGACCATTCAGAGTGAGTCATTAACCACTACTCTGAATATGAACTTTTAGCCAGTTTTCTATGCATTTTACATACAGATTTTTCCGAGCCTGTAGACTTTACCTTAAGCATTAGCTGTGTGTGGGGAACTGTCAAGCGCTTTTGTAAAATCCAAGTATACCACATCTGCCTGCCCCCCCCATCCTCTCTACAAGGTTTTGCTCACCAATACAAAAAACTAATTTAAAGCAACAGACAGCATGGATTCATGAAAGACAAGTTGTCAAATCCATTTATTTTTTTCCAGAAAACTATGGTCTCTTATTAAACTCCAACTATAGAAGTTGAATTAACAGGGCTACAATTGCTTAGTAAAGATTTTGACTTTTTTTTTTTACATATAGGCACCACATTGGCCTTATGACAATTCAGTGGTGCTATGCCAGTCATTGAGTCTCCCCAAAAAATTTAAACAATGGCTTTGAAATTACAGAGCTAAAGTCTTTAAGGACCTGTGGGTGTATGCCATCCATTTGTTTTTATTTACCTTCTGTCGAAATATTTTTGGATCCTATCAATTTTGAGCCAATGTGGATCATCTGGAGCTGTATCAGTACCATGCCCATTATGGACAAGAGCTCCCCTATGCTCCTTTTTTGTATACACGGAGCTGAAGGTATTTAATACATTTGGCTTTTCTTTGTCCCCCAAGTCACCCACTCTAGATTATTTTGTAAAGGGCCTACATGCTTGGACTAGACTAGACTTTTTTTTTTTTTTTTTTTTTTTTTTTTTTTTTTTTTTTTTTTTTAATTTAAACTTTGGCCATAAGCCACATAGGTTTGATTTTTAGCCTTTTAAACTAGCTGCCCATGGGAATATATTTTGCCATGTGTTCAGTCTTTTTGAACTCCTATTTCTGTGTTCATTGATGCCAATATTCCCTCCCAGTCAAGTCTTAAGAGCTAATTTTCCACGGCTGAAAGCTGCTCTCCAAATTTTGAACTCTTTTTCCTGTATGTGCTTGCTGTTTACAGCTAACAATAAATGAAATTATGTTATGGTCACTGCTATCCAGATGTTCTTATATGGACATAATATATAGAAAAATCCTCCTGCGCTTCAATGGATAATCCCTAACCTAAGCTGCTCACACCCACTCGTCTATTTGTTTCACTTATTGGTATAACTAAATAGTGTAGCGCTAATAACTGTACATAACAAAATGATAAAAATTAAATCACGTGGCACACAAAGTGCATATAACTACAAAACCTGTGAAGTGGATACACAGGCAAACCCCCCCCCCCCCCCCCCCCCCCCCCCCCCCCCCCCCCCCCCCCCACCCCCAATCAAAACACAAATATAATCAGTGAATAAAGTGACTCCCTTCTCAGTGGAAAGCAAACCAACCTATAAAAAATATAAAGGTGCAACCTCTAATGGGGAAAAACTAGTACAAAATGATGTGTTACAAAACACTTAATCACAGCAAAACAAACAATGTGATACATAAATGATCAGTCCATAAAAAAAGTCCACTCTGACAAACTCTTGTGAACACGAATAAAACCGCAAATCGTCAAAGCGAAACTCGTGCCAGCAATTGAGAAATCCTTAAATGGCCTGAGTGCCCCCTCACCTCCTTAGTGATTACACAGGCCAGCTTGCTTAATGGATCAACCACGTTCCTCAGAGGAACTACCGCGTTCTTAGAAAGATGACCGCATTAGTAGTGCCAATATTCCTCCTGAACTCCAATCACTGGATAATCTTGCAGTGCTGCTCACATCAGAGGATCATAATAGAAACAAAGATCCTCCATAGTGTAAATCAGTAATTTATTTAAGTAAAAATGCCAGAGAATGCTGGTTGTGTGCCACATGTGATTTTTTTTTTTTTTTTTTATTTATCATATTTTGTTACATTTGTGTTATGCACAGTTATTTAGTTATTAGCACTAAACTATTTAGTTATCTACTTATATGGACATATGTAATCTCTGCATGGTTTGAGATTACCCGGTCCAGCAGGGCATCATTCCTAGTAGGGGCCTCTATGAACTGTACCATAAAATTGTCCTGTAGTAGGTTTAAAAAGTTTAACTGTTCTTGCAGTAAAATTGCGCGTCAATTTCCAGGTAGTTAAAATCCCCCATTATCACTGTTGCAGCCCTTTCAATCTGTGCAAGGAGCTCAGTCTCCACCTCCTCAACACTGGGAGGCCTATAACAAACTCCAATGATTACCTTTTATAGTGTGCAGTTCCACCCATAATGCTTCAGCCTCATCACTCTCCAACTGGGTGTTTAAATATAGCTATACTAACTTATTACCATCTTAATTTTCAATTGACTTCAAATTGATGCTCCTATTAAGCACTAGTTGTATGTATAGTCACTTTGTCAATGCTGAGGTTACATGCACCAATTGGCCATAACATGACCACTAACTGCTAAAATGAATAACAGTTGTTACAATGGTATCTGAAAGTGGGTGGGATAGTTTAGGCACAAAGTGAACCAGTCCCTGAAGTTGGAAGTGTTTTGAAAGCATAAGAGCAAGTTTTAGGAATCTGAGCAACTTTGACAAGGGCCAAATTGCAATGGCTAGATGAGCCAGAGCAATTAAACTGCACTTTTTGTGGAATGTTCTGCAGTGGTCAGGACCTATCGCATGCCTTCAGGAAGAAACCTGGTAACAGGGCCATGGGCCAAGGCCCAGTGTATGTAGGGAGCAACAGCTGGCCTGTGTAGTCCTGACACCTTTCTAGCAACTGAGCTACAGTAGCTCCTTTGGATAAAACACAATGCATCTTAGTTTGTTGCTTATCAGGCTGCAGACCAGCCAGGGTGCCCATGCTAATGTGTCCATTCTAAAGCCTGTACAGTGGGTGCATGGGTGTCAGAACTAAACCAGTGCAATGGAAGGTGGCCTTGTGTTGGGTTTTTTTTAACAATGTGGGTGCATGTGCATAGCCTGGGGGGGGGGGGCGTTGGCTAATGAAGTATTTTCTGACTGTGTAATGCCTTATGGTACTTTTGGTACATCAGAATTCAGTAGCTCATAATGCAGTATAGAGGTTTCAACTATTGCAAGAGTTTTTTGTTGAATATGCAGCTTCCCCCCCCCCCCCCCTTCTGGAAATGTTGCTTTGGGAGCAATTCTAAGTGTTTTGGTTGTGTGTAATCTATCACAAGGACATGCCTAGTTGAGGTAAAATGTGCAGCACAACTGTACAATGGTTTCATGGTACTAAAAGACCTGTCAGGCAGAAAGCTATTTAACTGCAGTGGTGGCTTCACAACTTTGCTGGTGAGAAGTGGATTACAATTGGCTTTATATCAGAACCCTGTTTTGCAGAGAATTGAATTTGGTTCAAAGTAACATTGTATTTTTTCAGATATGTCAAGTATACTCCCGGATTACCTGGCAACCCTAGATGAGATCACACTTTCCATGCCGAAGATGGAGTACTGTTTGTTTTAAACTGATCTTTGTATGGTTTTACACTTTTATTTATTTGTAAAATAAACTTTTTTATTCATATTAACTTGCTTGGGTTTTTTTTTTTTTTTTAATATCCTTCCATCACAATAGCCAAACACTAGCAACTAGCACCAACACACTATTGCTGACCTATGTTTTGTGGACCTTGTGCTGCTAATGTCTGTACTTCTACACTGTAGAAAACATTTCCTTGCCTTTTTGTTCAGTTTATATACTGAACAGGTTCACCCTGATGTGCTGTGGTTTGGGTGCAGGATTATTTTTGCCTTTTTTTTACACAGTTCAAAGTGTACACCTGTTGACATCTATTAGACTGGTTTCATGCATCTGACACTTCCAGAAAACTGTAATAGAAGTCAATGGGAGTGCACCAAAAATTGTGAACCCAGCCAGACCAAAAAGGTCTATTCAAAGCATGTTGCCAACTGTCCTAGTGAAATTCACTTTTTGGCACACATATAGTTAACCCTTTAATGACAGGGGAACACAAATAAGTATATCAAATCATTTTTGAAATTAACAAAATTACAGAAACTGTTACAAAACCAATGTACAAAATTCCCTCTAAATTAAATCATGGCTTCCTGACTGAATCCCATGCCCAGTGTGTCCAAATCGACCTTCCCCCATATATGCACCCTAGTGTAATCTCCATCCACCCCACACAATGGCACCATCCAATCTCCTAAAGTAAACATTTAATGAATTCACAGCATACATGAGCCAAGAGTCTCTTCAAAATAAGGGAAGAGGGCTATGCCTTATTTTAGGCCCAGTTCTCAATGGGAATGCATATTTCCATGCAGTGCACTTTGACAGACCATTTGTTTGAATGGTCTGCACTGTGCCATGGAAACAATTTAAGTAGTGCTTCTACAAGCATACTGGAGTACCATGTGATTTGGTGCCTTCAAATGCACTGCATTTGTGATCTGTGTTTTTAAGGTAGCAATACATTTGACACCTCCATGCAGATCATGAAGGCAGCGCATTCACGCCTCTTTCACTGGATTCTGGTGTAAACTGGCTCTAGTGTTTAGTGAGCAGATAGAGTAAGCCAATATTAACCAAGGAGGAGGTGTCAGAGGAGATTGGGCCATTTCATGGGTCATTACTGGCTGCATCCATTACAAAGTAAGTGCAGGTTCAGTCCCTATATTTGTAATTCACCCTGAAATTCTTCAGCTTTACATACCTGACCAAAGAGAGGCAAGTGTGCAAATACAATAATGTGGCAAACTTTTTTTTTTTTTTTTTAGTGTTTATAGTTTTTATGAATATTTGGACAAAATGTATTCTCTAATTTTGGCAATCTTCTGGAGACACTCCAATCAGACCTTGAACTGCTGGATAACATAGTACAGAAGGTGTGTACACCCACTGAATATACTCATACTCCATATGTGGAGGAAAGATAAGGGGTTAATACTTTTTTTTTTTTTTTTTTTTTTTTGTACCATCCCTATCTACTAAATATAACCACAACAATTGGGATTGTAAGTGTACCTCCCAAGGTATAGCATAAAAGAGAATATAATACATAATTTATTGCTTACATATATCCTGAATAAACAAGACTTTTAAATCTTAAAAATGAATGTCGCTTTTAGGTATAACCATGTATCTTTTTAAGATCCTAGTCTTAAAATGGCTGATGTGGTTCATGGGGGGGGGGGGGGGGGAGAGATTTTCCTCAGGATCTTGTTCTACACAAACTAGGACAAAATAATGACATAACAATCACAGCACTGTATCATATCCACCAATTTTATGACTTAAACATAGTTGGTATAATTAACCCCAATTGGTAAGTACCCATCCTGAATTGAGGCAAAAATCTGAATTCAATAAAATTTATTAGTTCTTAGAAAATTAAAATATATGTTATCTTATGTTCACATGTACAACAATGTGTATGACCAAAGCCTGCCGGGCCTGTGGGGAGGGGTTTAATGATAGAACCCCATGATCTTAGCAACACTTTAAAGGGACTACTGTATAGCAAATGGAAGACTAATGTAACCTTTACTATACAGTTGATATAAAAAATCTACATATCCCTGTTAAAAAGGTCAGGTTTCTGTGATGTAAAAAAATTAGACAAAGATAAATCATTTCAGAACTTTTTGTCAACCTTTTTAATGTGACCTATAAAAAAGCATATAGGAAAAATGTGTTCTGGTCTGATGAAACCAGGGTTGAATGTTTTTGGCCATAATTCCAAAAGATATGTTTGGTGCAAAAACAACACTGCACATCACCAAAAGAACACCATACCCACAGTGAAGCATGGTGGTGGCAGCATTATGCTTTGGGGCTGTTTTTCTTCAGCTGGAACTGGGGCCTTAGTCAAGGTAGAGGGGAATTATGAACAAATATATTTAAGTGTGTTGCGCTCCACAATATAAATAATATCAATCATAAACATATGAGTTTAAATAATGCTAACGTGAATAAACCTTGTGCTTCAAGCAGTGCAATATCTTGTGCATTGCAATATATAAAATAAATATGATCAAAAATGAATATAAAGTCCTCTTTGTGCTTTAAATCTTGCCAGTGCCAATTGATGTGCCGTGCCACACTCCCAGTGCTCAAGAAATAGATGTACGCTCACCTTACTAATTAGCCAAACTTAAGTGGCTAATACCGCTTTTGTCCCATCAGGACTAAGTAGTAATCTCCATGCTGAGTACTTATTTCCTTATACAAGTGGATAGGCTTGTGCTACCAATTTTCTGCCACCAGGGGTCTCCCTCACTATCCACACTGAGCCTCAGTGGATGGATGGGGTAAACCTGTGTATTACTTCCTCCTCCTGGTATAGTGGGATATCATAGAAAAAAGGAGCAACAATAGTGCCTTATCCTTTTAAGGTTCAAGTGCTTTTATTAAACAAATGTAGCGCACTCCCACTTTCCAGTGTCGATATCATACAGATGAACTTGTGCCCAGATCCTCAGTTTGTACTTGCCGCTCGTTCACTTCAGCGTTGTGATGTCAGAGCCCCTCCCCTATGCGTTACGCCACAGGGTCACGTGGCTTCATCAGGGGGACACACAAATATATTTTTTGATATTTTTAATTTTATACAGATAATGAGTATGTGTTGAGTGTTGATGCGCCACAATTTTATGTAATAGTTGTTTTATATTCTTATAAGTTTATTGCACAGGGAGAGTACCACATTTTGGCTCACAAGTACTATTAATTTTATTTGGGAATTATGAACAGTTTCAAATAATATTATTACACAGCATTTATATGGTGCCAACAATTTGCTCAGTGATGTACATTACAATGGGAGACAATACATGAGACAGTACAGTAACAATACAATAAAAATACACGGGTTCGAGGGCCCTGCTCCTTGGAGCTTATAATCTAGGACACAATACCAGTCAATATTGGCACAAAACCTTCAGCTTTCTGCTAGAAAGCTGAACATGAAGAGAAACTTCATCTTTCAGCATAACAACCCAAATCATACATTCAAATCAACAAAGGAATGGCTGCATCAGAAGATAAAAGTTTTTGAATGGCCCAGCCAGAGCCCAGACCTGAATTAGATCGAAAATTTGTGGGGTGATCTGAAGGAGGGCTGTGCAGAGCAGATGCCTTCTAAATCTGACAGATTTGGAGTGTTTTTGCAAGGAAGAGTGGGCAAATATTGCCAAGTCAAGATGTGCCGTGCTGATAGACTCAAAAAGACTGAGTGCTGTAATAAAATCAAAAGGTGCTTCAACAAAGTAGTTTAAGGGTGTGTACACTTATGCAACCATTTTATTTTAGTTTTTTAATTTTTACTTCCCTCCACCTAAAAATTTCAGTTAGTTGTTCAACCTAGTTGTACTGTTTATAGGTTACATTAAAGGTGGAAAAAGTTCTGAAATGATTTCTTTGTCTCATTTTTTACATCACAGAAACCTGACATTTTAACAGGGGTATAGACTTTTTATATCCACTGTATATATTAAAAACACATTAATAGCAAATTTAGACCCACCTCTGTTTATAAAGGCCTTACCTCAAATATCAGGATCTTATAACTTAAACAGACGTCAAAAACAGATACAATGTCATTAGCAGCACATCTCCATTGAATTACTGAATCTATGACTCCAGCCCCATATTGCCTACAAAGTCTAAATAGTATCCACATATGCGAGTCTAAAAATAAAACAAAGAGGGCTCTGATCATAAATCCAACAATAATCTAAAATAGCCTAAGGCTAATGATGTAGGCCTCCAAACATTCTACCACAAGTAAAGGAGTTATCATTGAAGCTTACATAAGATCCAAGTCCGATTGCCACACCACCAACACATATACAGCACATGGTCAAAATGGTGACAAAGAGAAAAAACTCCCACTGGTGGTGGGCTATATATAGTATAAATGTTTAAAGTAACCCCTCCCTGAGGCTACCTCCACGCCCCGGGGGGAGGAAAATCTTATCATCCCTAAGGTGTGGAGGTGGGCTTCTCCCCCCATTCGGGGGGCGTGGAATACTATCCACACCCCTGTACCTGTGGCCATGTCGGTCTCTGCGGCCGGGTACCGCACTCTCCACCTCCCCTCCCAGCACAGGCGGCCAATGGGGCAGGTCCGGACTGCAATGTGTGTGACCGGAAATGATGCAGATCCTAGTCCCCGCAGCCAGAAGTCTCTGGGGCCGGGTACCGCCCTCCCCAGTACAGGTGGTCAATGGGGCAGGTCCGGACCATGAAAACCACGACTGGAAGTGATGCAGAGACCAGTCCCTGTGACGCGCAGGCCCATCACTGCAACACTTCTGGGACTGACACCACTGCGCTCCATCCCAGAGCGCACACAAAAGGAAATAGACACAAAAGAGCCACAACAAACTAATAACAAGGACACTAAAGATACAAAACCCACCCAAACTGGAATAGCAGGGGGGACACGGACCCGGCATAACACGATTCTGCCCAACAACACATGCCATGCCACACAC